CAATTCACATAACTTCTAGAAATACTTTATAAGGACGCTGTTGAACAGAATAGATTACCTTAGCTGTATTTGGCGATACTTTTTGGAATTTTGAGTCCTCAATACTCTTCAACTTCGTATTCTATTTGGCTACTTTAACTTTTTTGATTCGAGCGTCACTAATGCGTCAATGCATCAATTATGGCCTAACATGCATAAAAATAAGGGTTTGGTGTAAAAATAGATCCATACGTATCTCTGTCCTACCTTTTTTCACTCTATTCAGTCCTGCCTTTTTTTTTTAGTTTATCCTGATTTTTTTTACATAAATTGTCATCCTGCCTTTTTTTTTTGCTAAGTGTCTCATCCTGCCTATTTTTTTACTCAAAATTCCTGTCCTGCCTATTTTTTTTCAAATTTCATCCTAGCCCCCCCCATAAAAATCAAATGGTAGCTCCCTTAACTGGAGAAGTTCATTGACAAACAATGACAATGCTTAACTGGTATTTAGCAAGCTTGTATTTTAAGAATTCGTTGATAAAGTTAATGTTTATATCATATACATAGTATGGCATGTACAATAATCGAGAATTATATCATATTCATATAAAAATGATTTTTTACATTTATCCCTCCAATGTTTGATTGTCGTATAGATGAATAGTAATCCTAATTGGGTTGTAGGAGATGCATAAATGCGCAGTCAAGGCCGGTCGAAATGGAAACACTTAATTCGATGTCTCGTGCAGAACTGTCTTAAATATTTTCCATTGGGCGTTAAGCAAACAATAACCAATCTAAGCTGCGATTTATTTACATGAGACACATACTTATTGGTGTAACACTTCCCTCGAGAAGCTTAATCCTTTGTCGTACGTCAATGTAGCATGCAGTGACGGTTTTACTCGTTCATAATTCTCAAGTTATCGGAAGAAACATAATTTTAGCAATGTCAGTATGTGCGTACCATTGAAATCACACTTGCACTAATACGAAAGTAATGAAAGGTCTTCATTTTTCTATGTTGTGTTTTATATACTCTTGTTCGTCTTTTCACCGTTTTGCGATTGTGAGATTGACTATCCCCTTGGTATCTCCAACCTCTCTTTTACTCATACAATCAGAAGAAATCCAACAAAGTATATTGCTAAATATTTGTAAATTCTTGTGAATGACGTGGGTACATGATGATCACTCCCTGACTTCTCCCGTCCGGCAGTAAAAAGCCGTTTGGCTGTATGGGATGACAAGTAAGCAGCCATGTCCAGTATGAATGGGGGCGTTATTTTTTTAAACCTCGTGTAGGTGAGTGCCACACTCTGCATGTTAAAGAGAAACCATACAAAAATTATCCGAGTGATCCGAAGGAGGTCTGTTGCGAGGCAAAATGTATGCCCCTAGCTATCCAACGTGTTTCTTTTTCAGTGGAAGTAAAAATTTCCATCCTTCATCCCTTATCTTGAAGAACTAACCGATTGTATCAATTTTTAGTTTGTTCTCGTTCTTAACATGTATTTGGATGATAAGCAAGCAACAACCAATCTATTGTTTTGAAATAACCGCAAATTTTATTGTAATTCTTTTTGATTTTAATTTTTCTCGTCAAATAATAGCGGTAACGTCCATATTGAGAAAACATATATTATATTCACCAGACTCTAAACCTATAAGAATTGGCGGTTACACCTCCTCCCAAGTAAAACACGTACTAGAGAGGGGCGTCGTTTCGTTTATACGGTATGTATAAATACACATGCAGTCACGTCCGATTTGAATGGGAACATTAAATTGAATTAAAAGTGTCATGCTCTCTTCGCGTTCATGAACTCTTCGAGGGTTCCCTGGCCCACTTTGCAACAAATATTTGCTTCTATCCAAATCACATCCAATTGCAGAACTTACGGTTATGCTACTTGTTAATTTGCTTTTGTTTTTTAGTTCATCTCCGGTTGATTATATGTCCTAAATTGGAATGCGCAACATAAAAACATAACCATATATAATACTATAGTACATATAAGATTAAACAAAAACTGCGACTCAGTGAACTTACAAAGACCCCCGCCCCGCAATATTATTAATATAAAGAAGTAAGTAAATTCTATTATCTCCCCTTTAAAACATTGAACAGGATAATATTTATGCACATCCTCAAATAGGGTTGTACAACTGTGTATAGTTTCATAAATATCCGTCTAGCAATTTATGGCGAGTTGCGCTGAAAGGCACACGAACAGACGGACGGACTGACAGACTGGCGGACAGGATGATTACAATAAACATTTGGTAACACCCCATCCCATGCACCCACCAATAAAAAGACTGTGTGTAGGGGGGTAAAAATACATGAAATATGCAATACAATACATGTAATTTCAATCCCATTTCAATAATTCTAAGGAATATGATATAGTCTATAGTCATATCTGAAAAGGGGAAGAAATAATACATGAAAAATAGATTATTAACATGTAAAGAACAGGTATAGAAGATACTAAGGAGTTAACAAAAACAATTAGTCAAAGAATAAAGGACAACATCATAATAAAAAAAAAGGACGAGGTTGAACAAAACCAATATGAAAATAAGGAGATGTGGCATTATTGCCAATAAGACAACTATACATATCCACCAAAGCTCAAATGAATTGGATGCAAGCAATTATAGGCAATAGTACGGCCTTCAACAATGAAAAAACCCATACCGTATTATCGGCTATACTAAGGACCCCGACATAAAAAATGTGAAACAATTCAATTGAGAAAACTAACGGCCTTATTTATAATAAAATAATTTACGAAAATGATATACAAATGTATGACAGACATGGCACCTCCACTAAATCAAAGTACTGAAGTACTGAACATCGAATGACCGCAAGTTCTTGTGGATGGTCACAAGCACTTGTCTCAGAAAAAAAATCACATCTCTATACCTGAAAGTGAAGTTAATGTACAGAGATATATTTTTTCTGAGACAAGTTCGTGCGTGGATGATGAATAAATGACAGGGAATTCAACATCACCGTAATAACTATCATATTGTAGTGATACAAATCAGTATACTTTGGTTTGTTGTTATATATCATATTAATATTTGTATATAACAGTAACATGTATATATAATTTTCATCCATTTGTATATCATTCTATTCTACTATTCTTATAATAGTGCAGTGCAAGTGCATGGTGGACACTCTTCTGTAATAATTCGATTTTTCTAATAGATTGGATTTGAGTAGGCATTCATATTTTCCCGCAAAACGTTCGTGAGATACTCTTCCGCATGCGTTAACACAGTTGTTCTGTACGTATGCATAGATATTAATGATTTTTTACTTATATATATATATATATTTCTAACGACAAAATATTTTCATATTATTAATTTATGTTCTAAAAAAAATATTTTTATGAGTATTCATTGAAGAAATGAATTTAATAAATATAACAAGCGATAAGGAATGTTATTTTGCACTCGATAATGTCCGCGTATTTATAGATCGTTTACCAGTCAAAAACGAAAGTTACGTAAGTAGAAATCTCTGTGGCAACAATACATCGGAATGCACTCATGGTCATCGCGATGTAAAAAGGATTCTTATAGCAAGGAAAAATATAGCATGTACCATATGACAGTTGATTTAAAAGAGTTGTGAGCAAAAAGCGAATAATTTGTGCTATTTCATCTTCTTCACAGTTAAAATTTACAGATGTATACATTTTTAAGTCCACATATACTTGTGAAGGTGGTTCCCTGAGGTCGGTGCAAAAAAAAAACGAAAAAAAAAAACATTACGATTATCTAATTGTAAGAATTCTGGTCATGTATGACAGATTAGTATTAACAAGAAAGCAACACAATAATCTTTGATTCGCACACGTGGCTAAATGGATTTATATTCAGATTAAGTCTGGTTCTTTGAGTTATGGCTCTACCTGACTTTTATAAAACTATTATTTTCCTATCAAAACCTTTGAGGATTAAAGCGTAATGACATTACAAAATATTCGTAACAGAGTATTTCAGGGACAAAGAAAATTCGTATTCCACAACTGAATACTTTATCATAAAATAAGCATTCGTTCGAATAATTTGAATAGTTTTAGGTTCAAGAAGAAAATGACCTATTTTTTATTTAATAAGTTATATTTGGATATATTGGAGAGGCAGCGGATTTAGCTAGAAAAGTTTCTTCCAGAGCCTCGAATGACGAAACAACCGTCTGCTATTCTTTTTCTACCTGATTTGGTTAAGAACGCTTCCCAACTTAAACCTCTTAAAAATGTTTGGATCGATGAAACATGATGAGAGGAAATAACATCGTTTCATACAAAAATATCTTCAGACTTGTTTTTTTTCATGATGAATGTTATATACGTTTGACCCCTTTCAACCTTTTCGGGACATATGTCAAAGACCCATTTACTTTCTATTTACTACACAATTCTGATTATTTATCAGAAAAAAACGAGTGTTTTGGTAAAGCATGTAAGGAAGATGTTAAAGTACATTTATAAATGCCTAATATGTTAAATCGTTAAAAAGTGTTTCATAAATTACTCCAACAATCTGTAAACAGGTAAACATGACCATGTCCTGAGTTTCATGACCTTATAGGTTGAAACAGACTTAGTTGTTATTAGACTGAAACACAAGAAGACAAAATAATCTTCATCAAATATTTATATTTGTACTGTAATAATTTGTTCCGAAGTGACACTTCAATCAATTATTTTTTTAAACCTTAATTGAACAGATGTGACACACTGTATAATTCCACGTTTTCTCATACTTCTATTGTATTTGTAATTTTTGGTAAGTGTGTTACAAAACTCTCTTAGAAGTTTTTTTTTTAAATCAATATGTCAAACCTTTGGTTACTGCAAACAAATTGCTGGATCTTTTTGAAGTTAATTCAAGAGGCGGAGAATAGGCGGATCCTGAGAGGCTGTATACGCTCAATAAAATTCTATTTTCAGATCTGTTCATTGGGTGACTCAAATAAATTGTTTTCGAGTTGTTTTCATTCATCGAGCATAGCCGATTTCTATCATAAATTGATTAATTCCAGTTATATGAACAAATCCCATGATCAAAGCATAATCACAAACCACTTTACCTATATAGTCGCCGAATAACTCGATTCATTGATATGAAGATTTGTGGATATTTACCTACAGTATTTGTGTTTCATTTCAGTTGAAAATATATTTACCAAAAATATATTTACAATAAATGCATTGAAAGGTATTGTTTTCAAAGTAGTACTACGAACGAGAAGGAATTAAAAAACATCCCGAATGAAGAATTTTCTGTTTGAAATAGGTTTACTATGCTAATCTGTTTATCGTTGCATAAAAAATTGTGACAGTTAACGCGAGAAGGAAAGCCTTAACTATTTAATATGTGGGAATAATATATTAGTTTAAATAATATTTGTGTAAACTCAAGGTGGATATATTGTATGAAGAGTTCTAATTAAGACATGGAATAGAGAAATATTTACGTTATTTACCAGATTAATATAAGACGATTTGACATTAACGCTGAAATCTTGGCGTTGGGAATAATGTAGTTAGAAGTTACATGTCTTACAATATGTAGGTAAAGGTTATTGGAGAACAAAAAAATAAATAAATAAAAATGTGTAGATGCAAGAAAAACCACTCTATTTGCCATTTTCTGTGTAACTTTTGGAATTCGATCATATGGACATTACTGTTGGGATATACAGCAGGTAAGTGCAAGAACTTCACAACTATTTACTCGATTATTTTTTATATAAGATATTATATTATAAAGTTTAACGCTTGTCGGTATTTGAGAGCTGAATTGTCAAAACTATTGATGCACCTTGGCTTACTTTTGCTTTCTTCATTTGTCACGTACATCTATTTTCAGTTTCAAATCAAATATCGATTATTAATATAATTAACATAAAAAGAATACTGTAAGAGAAATCAAATATGTTTTTTTCTTAACTTTGCATTAGAGTGCAAATAGCGAGACATGATTTTTGGTTATTTAAATAACCTGTTTATAAACCTAGTCAAACTGGATTTATAACATGTATTATATAAAACATAAGCAAACCGGAATCATTTTAACCATCAAAATTCTAAAATTTTATGTGGGTTATTATTCAAGCCCTTACGGGTGCGGACAAATGCAAATATTACCAGTACTGAGTGCATATCCGTTATCATTGATGACATTTTAGATAGAAGACGTAACATTTTATTCAGCATCGGTATCTAAACATGCCGACAATATCCATCTAATACCTTATCAATTTCAATTTAAAGCCTTTTTAAACCTTGTAATTGAATTATAACTAAGATTTATGGAGGGTTGTGACAATTTAATTTGTCATTATGTTACGATATGCAAATAACAACTTTGATATTTGCTGTTATTAAGAGATTTATGCACATTTTTATATCTCCCCACACCGAGGATATGATTTATTTTAGTAGATTGCATGTTTTAAATAGCCTACTTTAATTCTGTTGCACTTAATACAGACCCAAGACAAATACTATAAAGCATTGGAGTACTTGTTCAGAATACTATATATACTAAAGAGACCTAACTGTCCAGGGGGTGTTTGATGAGCTGATTATCAAGTATTTTCAATACTTTATATAAATAAGGAGATGTGATATGATTGCCAATGAGACAACTATCAATTAAAGTCAAAATGACGTGGATCTGAGCATTTTTTGGTCATCGTACGGCCTTCGTTAATGAGCAAAACCATACTGTGTAAGTTCGCCATCATATGCCCCTTTTTACTTTGATTATATTTTTAAAATACTGCTCTTTTTATTGTCCAACTTAAACTCATTGTAATCAGTCTTAAATTGAATTGTACCTTTTAGCAGAATAAGTGCAAGGCAAATTATTGACTGACAAGGAATTTGTTTGTATTTTTTTTGGAGAGAAACATACTTATTTTTTACAAATTGTATTTATCTAAGTTGCTTAAAAGTTCAATGGTAAATGTTTTATATGCGTTTGGTCGTTTAATGGTTCGGTTTGCATGTTCTGGGCGATTAATTTTGGTAGAGTGTCTGGTAATTGCGACAAGATAAGTAGTATAGGGTCATTGTTTTTCTTCTTTGCAAAATAAAGTTGTTTGATTTGTTTTAAATGATGCTATGTGATATATACATATATTAGGTGCAAGTTTGATTTTTTTTTTGTCTGAAACAAGAGCTAGTTCTCTCTACATAGTATTATATATCATAGGGATATTGAATTATTTGAAAGTCATCTAATAAACTTCAATGAAAAAAAAAATGGAAATATGTCATTAAGATGTTTTATTGATCAAAATATCGATACTTTTAGTTTTAACGTAGGTTTGTTGAGATGTTTAGATTGAGAATGGTGTCGCACATGGAATATTTGTTTGACATCTGTACTTTAGTTAAATCATCGGAAAAGACCAATTTTATGCATGCATGAACCACGTGTTTTTACTTCACAAAGATTTCTTTCTATTAGTTATGGACCCTATATTTAAATGTCACTACGAATTTTGAAAGAATGCAATTTATAGTCTCATATGTTCTATAAATGTATAAAGTTTAAGAGATAGAGAGTATAGCAGAATTGACCACCCCAAAAATTAATTAAAGTCGATTTACCCTAATCGATTTAATCTGAACTAATCTGTTACACGAAAAACCAAATAAAACGCTTTAGGTCTTTTTTATGACTTAAATAATTACTTCTTCCTATTTATTTTAATCTCGTGTTAAATTGAAGGTAATGGGTGAAGCAGGTGTACAGTAGTAAACCCATTGTAATTATTGGATACTTCTTTCCCTTGGAGTCTTCTAATTTTTCTTTAACTATTTTTAACTGCTGACATTTTATGGGAAGTTTTGGGTTATTTCTTTTAACTGTATGAAGTTTGTTATAGATTGGGGATACTGATAACAATTTATTTGAAAGCCTGGTCAATGATTAAGGTCAAGGAACAGTAAATGGGCTATGTCACATATTTTGGTAATAGTTTGCATACAACTTTGGTTCGTTGAACTATAAATGAAAATCGAAAAAATAATGCATTTATTTCTTTTATCATCTGAAATATTACTGATTGAATTCTTTCAAAATAGGTGATCATTTGTATAGAAAGCACATAAAATCGTCGAAAACCCTTTGGAAATTTGTCTTATTATCATCAAATCTCTGATTTCTAATACACATAGATTTTTCTTTAAAATTATATGTTGTTGATACGTGTTGCTCAGACTAATTTTCAGTGTAGTGTTTTTTGTATATATTGTTGTTTGCTTTTTTTTCACTTATTTTGGGGGAGGGGCATGCTGTTATCTGTTTCTCTTCGGTTTTTCATTTTGATGTCTCCATGGTATCTTCTGGTACCTTGATTCCGTTCTCTGTTTTGGTTGGAAGTTTTAATTGCCTTTGCATGAATTTTATGTATGTGTTCATTGTCGGAATTCGATGAATCATTCTTCCAATTATTGTTTATGATGCATTTTTTTTTATAATTTTTTTTAAGGTATTAACTTTGTTGATATTTTGTTAAACTATTTTTTACTACAGTAGTTCATCAATTGATTGCGGTTTAATTTGACAATTCTCCTTCAATGTTGCATTTATCTCACTTGTTATCGGATCGTACGAAATGATGCACTGTTTACCTTGTCAATTACCGAAGGTAGAAACCATTATGTAATTGCAAAATAAGTCTTGGAAGTAGTAAATCTCACTAATAGCCATTGATTTATTTTAAAACACTTTGTTCTCAGTATAATATTTATGGTGTCATTTTGCCTCTTTTAACAATAATGACACATCACAATAACAGCTGTTTAGGAATAACAACGCTGGTAATTGTGTACTTGAAATTCAATGACAGACGGTAGGAAATCGTTTTCTTTTTCCCTATGGAACTACCAGTACCTGACTAAGACAAAATAGTTCCAGTATCATTAAACGCTAAATCACACCCGTCTGAGTTTCCATATTAATATTATATATATTCATTGGTCGAAATAAAACTGTTTTTTTTTAATTTGTACATGTAACTAATATAATCGTAAGGTTGAACACTTGCACAAAAATTTGGTAAATATATATGTACCATTTGATTTTTATGGGGGGGCTATGATGAAATTTGAAAAAAATAGGCAGGACAGTAGTTTTGAGTTAAAAAAAGGCAGGATGAGACACTTTGCTAAAAAAAAAGGGCAGGATGACGATTTATGTAAAAAAAAGTCAGGATAAACTAAAAAAAAAAAAGGCAGGACCGAATAGAGTGAAAAATAAAAAGGCAGGACAGAAATTTTTCATCCTAGCGCCCCCCCCCCCCCCCCCTCCCGCAAAAAAATCAAATGGCAGCTCCCTTATGCAGAAATTGTTTTTTCTCTCTAAATTAAGCTTTCAGACATTCACATTTGCATTACATAGACGAAGTTATACTAACTACAAGCACAGCATAAAAGCGCAATTAAACAGATCTTTATCAGAAATACTATTTCTTTCATAAATATGAAATTTCTAAACGTTTGAACATTTGATCATATGAATAATGAAAGACTCCGAGCAAATGGAAATATTGTTCAAACAAAGGGGATCAAGGTGATCGAGTGATAGCTACATATCGAAAACCACATCAATCAGGTGTAATCTGTAATCATTTATTCAGTTTATTTTATGTACATCCACATGGATAGGCTCAATAAAAGGAAACTGATTGGACACCGTTATCAATCATTAAAATCTACATATTCTCTACAGTTCCGGGTATCCATCGACGCTGAAATAAGTAAATAGTGTTGTCTCAAAGCAATGCAGTTCCGGTATGTGACAGTGAAAAAAATCTTCATTGTTGCTTCGGACGGTCGTATCAAGACAATCAATACCTGAAAATGTTTGAAGAATGGTGTACTTACTCAGTTTTCTGTTAGGTGGCGCTTTTATTTATACAGACTTCTATGTTGAACTCTTTTTATGAATCCATAAAAATATTTTTCTTTAACTTTTTGAGTGTTAAAACATGCTGTAAAATTATAAAATTTATATAATTTTTTTTTTCGTCTAACGTTAAAATTTTTGCACTTTATGTAGTGTGTTCCAAAGATCATTCATCTTGTTATATACATTTTACTTTGCCAATTCGTAATGCTAGAAATGATAAACATTTTATCAGATAATCGACTTAAATATTGGATCATTCGGATTTGGGTACTTCTTCTGGGGTCCTGAACATCTTATGTTGTAAGATAATGAGTATTCAGTGCATTTCTTTTAAATATCTATGTTACTTGACGAAATTTATGCATTACAGTGTAAATCTAATGTTGCGAATTACTGAACTACAAATGTATCTATCGGGGAAATATTGATCTCTCGAAGCTTTAAATTTACTTTCACTTTCTTAAGTAATATGAATATCGTGCTGATTATAGATTGGCATCTACCAAAATCATGTCTTTGCTATGATACTCATTAGTTGTATTGAACCGCTTTGGAAGTACTTCAGTTGTTATCTGATTGAAAGAGGACTTCAAAAAAAAAACTATATCAGTAACTCTAACCATTCACCAGACAGTAGAACTTATTACATAAGTTGTTTTTTGTTTCTGTTGCCGAACTTATCACATTAGTTGCTTTTTGTGTAATGCTATTACGGAATTTTGAATCATATTCAAATGATCTGACATTAATCAAGTTCAGTGTTTGAAGTTCAGAAAGATT